AGGGAGGAAAAAGTGAAATTCTCATTTCTGAAAAGGCAGTTGACACTCGTAAAAGTACCTGGCACATTTTCCCAGTTTCCAAAAGTGTTCAGGGTCTATTGGATCAGGGAAAGAATTCCCTGAATGTGCGGGTTACTTGTGACCAGTGTCAAGAAACAGGAGCCAGTCTGGTGTTAATGGGAAAGAGGAAAAAAAAGGGAGAAGCTGTGGAAGATAATGAAATCACAGGAGAAGAGGAGAAAGAGCAATCACATAGGCCCTTCCTAATGATGCTGGCCAGGAATTCAGAAGATCGGCACCACAGGCGGCGAAGGCGAGGTCTTGAGTGTGATGGAAAAGTCAATATTTGCTGCAAGAAGCACTTCTTTGTTAGCTTCAAAGACATTGGTTGGAATGACTGGATCATTGCCCCACAAGGCTACCACGCCAATTACTGTGAAGGTGATTGTCCTAGTCATATTGCAGGCACATCTAGTTCTACTCTATCTTTCCACTCCACTGTTATCAACCATTACCGCATGAGAGGCCACAGTCCTTTCTCCAGCCTCAAGTCATGCTGTGTTCCTACCAAACTACGACCAATGTCTATGCTCTATTATGATGATGGGCAAAATATAATTAAAAAGGACATCCAGAATATGATTGTAGAAGAATGTGGATGCTCATAGGTTGTTTGCAGTTTGCATATCAACAATTTGGGACAGTCTTTTTAACAATATCAAGAGGATAATTTGAAATGAAATGTAACAGGACAGACCAAATATTCAACAAAACAGTTACATTTTCAACATAATAGCATCTAGTATTCAAATTAGAGACAAACAGAAGAAAGAAGAATGACATTGTTTCTAGGGCATCAAGGCAATGAAATCTTTATATGCTCTATATTTTATTGCATGGTATTCCACACTTAGCAACAAAAGGAGATATCTTTTCCTACCCAATGTTACCTATGCATTCAAGCCTTGATAACAGCATACCTAAAATACAGCAATTTGGCTATTAAATCCAAAATGTTATTAAAATTTTATAAAAGCCATGTGTATGAACACTATATTCACTGGCACTGTTATTCTCAAGAATTTACCGAGGACACAATGAGTGTGCACATATGTGACTGTGCAGGTTTCTTATGGAAAACACATCAAAAAAAAACGCGTGTTTGTACCAACAAGCATTCAAATATATGATGGTAGAAGAATGTGGATGCTCATAGGTTGTTTGCAGTTTGCATATCAA